CATACAGTCCTTATCCAAAATATTTATGTTCTAGCTTATGAGTTCGAACAATGGATTTAATATTTATTCCTAATATTTCTTCTATTGTGCGCAGGGCCTTACAGACCTACCGGTAAATAATGATCGTGTTAAATTTTCTTCCTTATTAGAGTACTAGTAGAGAACATAATTCAGCGGAAAAATTAACTGGGACAAGTCAAAGTATTTACTAACGTCAATCTGATGAAAAGAACCGCTTCCAGATTTGTGACTTTAACGCAGTTTACGTCTGAGGCACGGATATCTACATATATCAAATATTTATCAATCGAAACATTAATCGATGCCGGGCGGATCAAAGAAATTGTCACAAAGATGGGCGCAGGAAATAAAAAAGCAATTAAAACTATCAACGAAACGGATTATCTGCACAAGTGTTCGTGCACAGAAAAAGAGAAATGTTAGCCAAGTAATTGCTTTTATTCGGCAATATTGGACGAGGGGGCGATTATTTAACTCTCTTGGCTGGAAACGACGCGACGCGACGCTTCGATCGCGGATGAGATCTCGCTGGACTTTTGTTTCGAAGCGAGGCTGACGATTTCGCGCCACGAGCTGCTTTTGTTATCAACGTTCGCGTTTGGGACAATCGGAAATCGACGCCGACAATTACGAGGTACACACACCGGGTGTCCTAAAATTATCGTCTGAACATTTATGACGAACAAGAGACACTCTAAAATTCTATTGAAATGAATTCCATTTGAAATAGAAATATAATTTCTTCCGAAAAAATTCCTCTAACTGTGAACAATCTTTTATGATATAAAAAATTGGTGCTTCGTTATCTTTCCTATTGAAAGTTTGACTTTAATCATGAAACTAAGAGATCGATAGTATTACAAATTCTCGTGTAAAATTATATCAATGAAGAAGATCCAGAGCCCTACACTGAAAAAAATTTCTGGTTGAATATGGACGAATCAGATAATTCCTTTAGGATTTACCAGAATTCCTTTAGGATTTACCAGAATTTCTGTAGGATTACAGGAATTCTGGTAAATCCTAAAGGAATTATCTGATTCGTCCATATTCAACCAGAAATTTTTTAAGTGTACGAATATTCTACTTTTCAAAAATGTTAAAAGGATCAAATTTGATATCTGTTTAAAAATCATCCGTTAAATTCTGTTAAAAAATCCGTTCAAATTCATTTGAAGTTTGCGGGCGTGATTTCACGGTTTACCGCAATAATAGCTATTCAATTTCCAGTGCGACGAGACGTGTGCACGGCTGTCAATGTTATTTCGTGCATTATCACTTTGATTATCATTCAGAACGGAGATTAATACACACACATTCGCGGGACTCTCACCGTCCGCATTTGTTGTCGCTTTTATCACACGTAATAAGAGGTATTTCGCAGGGGAACAAGTTCTCGAACTCCACTGTGTTGCATTATAGGCACCGCTTATGATTGCGAAAGTTTCTTACTTGGAAGCTTCGGCAATCTTTCTTAGTTTCGAACTCGCGCGACAGACTGGAACGATTTATCATATATTTGTCTTCAGCCGAAACTTATGCCCCAATATAATTTTTTCGCAACACTGCGCCTCGAAACTGCAAACGCGGTCTTTTCATTTACTCAACTTGGAGCTTACACGCTGAAACGTCCTGCGTCCCAGATGCACAATACGCGCAATAAATAAGAAATAAGAAAACGTTCCCCTATATTCTTTTTTCTCATATTCGTGACTTCTACCATAGCTTACGATTTTGATATCACTATAAAAGTTTAATTTCATATAATTAATTAAATTGAAATAATAATATAATTAAAGCACTTCAATTAATTAATTATATTAATATAAATCTGTTGTTTGATGGGTCACGAGATGAAGTCCTCGAATCGTATCGTTATAGAAGTTGTGAAAGTCGCGTTTGAAAATAATCGCAAACATCGCGGAGTATTTTTTCCAGACGCATATACCGGCGGATATCATATTTTTACTCAGCACTTCGCGCGGCGAAAATGGGATAAATATGATATCACAAATGAGAAGCGGCCCGACAGAGAAGTTAGATGAGCGAATTTTCGCGTTGCGTCACCACGACGCATTCGCGTCCGTCTATTTATATCGTGCGGACAGGTACATACATACACGCGAGCCGACACGCCGACGATTTATCCGATAGCAAACATCGGCATCGTACGTCGTCTGACATGCACCGTGCGTTACGGTAATGCACGTACGCATACCGCTGCAATCTTTTTGTAGCAGATTTACACCAACTTCTTCTTAAAATTATCTGCGATCCAAATTATCTCTCTCAAATCAGTATAGATCCAATATTTCCACTCTCCTCTTCTACTCTATTCGATTTCATTTAAACGAGTCTAACCCAAGTCAAAGAATTTTTATTATTCGCTAGAATTTATGCACTGAAAAAAAAATCTGGTAGATTCAACCGTCTGTTAGAAAATGGACGAATCAGAATTCCCTTTAGGATTTACCAGAATTTCTTTAGGATTTACCAGAATTCCTTTAGGATTACCATGAAAGATATTTCATAACCAGAAGTTTGGTAGACTTTACTACAAATCTGGTAAATCCTAAAGGGAATTCTGATTCGTCCATTTTCTACCAGAATTTTTTTTTCAGTGTGGAGATTCCGAAAAAATATACAGGGTATTATGTCATACCCGCCACACCTCTTATTTCCGGATAGAGCGGACTAGACTGAGTCGAAAAGTCCTCTACCATTTTGCAATTTTCGCAATAGTTAACGAGTTATAAATTATAAAAAATCGCTGTCTTAGCCCAGCCTACCGTCCAATTCAAGCTCGCGGCAAGATGCGGCCGTCCCGTGATCGGCGTTGCTAGGCGCGCGGGGAGTTGAGTATATTATACGTAGCCGTTGCTCTGTGTCATAAACAATTTGTATACCTAGGGGGGGAATCCTAGAAAAATTTTGCAACGAGAAAAAGTGAGGAAAAGTAAAATGAAAGATTATCAAATTTAATCCTCGCTAATTTGTATATAAATCTATTTTTGTTTCAAATAAAAAATTTCTAAAAGAGCCTTCTTTATAGTTTTGTATCTAACTCGATATAGAATTGCAAAAAATTAAGATGGCATTGATCTCCTTCAAGTTGAAGAAACTTGTGTACGTGCAATAATCCTAGAAAAAGCGTGAATTATCTAATTTAATTCTCGCTAAAAAAAAACTATTCGCGTTCAAATAAACGTTTTCTAAATCCGAAAAGAGCTTTGTTTCCAGTCTTCTATTAAAAATTCGTGAATTAATATAGTAGTGTCGCGTTAATTCAGGTATTTCTTCGACCTTACCCGAAAATTCAGAGGTGTATCGTGCAACCCTTTACACAAGCGCGTTGTATACATAACATATGTCGCATCGTTGCACACGCATACATTGCTATAGAGGAAACGCGACGTACACGCATGCACGCACGCACCTCCTCCTCGTCGACGTGTCAATTTAACGGCTTCCTGCTCTGGCGTCGAGTTTCGTTGTGCACGCACGTTTATCGACCGAAATGTTTCGCGTCTCTTTTGTACCGTATGCGTGCATGGTTAAAGAACATTGTAGCAGAAATAGTAAAAGGAACAGTAAACAATACAGCGGCTGGACACGCGGCAAACGTGAACGTGCAGCATTCTGCCTCTTTTAGCATCTGTTAACATTTTCAAAGCGTAAAAAAATGGCACTGGCAATTTGTGTACCGATACTTTTCTCTAATTCCTACGACGCGCATAGATTATATGAAAAGTTGCCACGACATTCGATAATAAAAATTCTCAAGCCGAATATACGTATTGGCAGTTCCGTTAAGAAAAAGCCGACTACCAATTTATTGTAAAAGCGATTGTTAAAATTTAATAGGACATCGGTGGACAATCGAGTCTGTATAATGTCAAGAATCTTGCTTTTATGAAATTTAACGATAAAGAATTCGATTGCTTCGGAGCTCTTCGCCTTGAGAAAGCAGCATTTGAATATTGCTTCTTCGTGCATAATTATATCTAATTATCGGATTCGAGTATACTGAATATCACCGGTGCTGAGCGCAATGGAACGTTAATTGAATGCGAAACGGAGAGCTTCAAAGCGCCTTATCGAGGGACCCTCGTGGTCCGTCTGTATTTCAGTTCGCATCGAGTACAGTCATATTACATTCCTCTCCGTTTAAACTTTCGCATCTCGCCAGCGGCAAAAAATGCGTCCACTGACGGCGTTCGCTAACCGGCAATTATCGGCGAAATTAGCCATCGGCTTCGTGAAACTCTTTTTATCGCAACGGCGCGGCATGGCGTTCCCTACGCTCAAGTGTATTTTCCTTTTTCCCTCCTAGCTCGCTACTTCGACCACGGTGTTATCAACGCGGGTTATCTCCTAACTTCCAGCGCTTTTCTATGCGTCATAGAGTGTTTTCTATGCTCCCTCACGTACTCCTCTTCCGCCAGAAATTCTATACAGCTATAACGAACGCCCGCACCGCCATCCTGCGATACGAGTGTCGAATTTCCCCATATAGAATCCCCCATATTGTAAATGACATCACGCGGCGTATAAAAGTCACCACTTCATAAATAGCCTTCAGTCGAAAATATCAATCACAATTCATTGAGTTTATATACATAAGGCGACGGCGCGATTTATTGCTCTGACACGTTCTAATAATTTTTTAGCTTCTTTCTAAAAAAAATTCGTTCTATAAAAATGTTCAATGAAAGTTTAATTACTACTGGAACGAAATTCCTTCCAAGATATAATTTGTTTTCCGTTAGATCCCAGATAGAGAAAGTTTAGATTATCTAATTGAGGAACCTTGAGAAGCATCGTGGCTTAATGATATTCCAATGATGGAAATATGTAAGAAAATGTACATACATTTCGCATATAAGAAATATATATCGTATTTTTTCTCATCTCTGACGTCCCTTTTAGAATTGAATGCACGACCTATCGACTTTATCAAGATGCTCGTTTGACGCTACCTGGGAAAACGTCCTTGGTGTCGGGTGTGTAGGGATGGATCCAGCCATTCCTCTGCTGTATGATGCACTGGAACATGATGCCGTGATTTTTTCGTAGATTTCCGTCCGCGAGAGGAAGAGATCCGAGGATTTCCCGGAGAGCGCGTCGCACTCTCCTCCAAAGAGACGAGACAGTTTCTTATCGCGACGGTGACGAGACGCACTCAATCTAGATTACGCATCCGTATGATCCCTATCGTGAGTCGCGATCGCAATCGCGCGGCGAGTCGGGGACGAGTCTTGCATCTTAATCCCGAATAACGTGAACCTCGATGTACGGTTAACACTCTGCCGTAAATTTCGCTGTCGAAACATATTATGCGACGGACCGTAAATTCGACTTCTCACGCGTAGTCTCCTATTTCGATTCGTTTCCGGATTTACGTGCCGAGGGAGAAGAGAACGAGAGTCCCCTCGGTTTCGTTCAGCCAAGCGGAGTTTCACGTTGCCATCGATCTCCGATGGTCGTTGCGTATCGCGCCACGGTCCGGAAAGGGGCAGTCAGTTGAGCGCGAACGTTACGTGCAGGCTCTGTGGACGCAGGCTCTAAGTCGTTGAACCGTATGACGGCGTTCCATCGAAGGCCACCGTGGCAGCCGTCGTCCCCAGGACGATCCTGCCTGCGTGGTTCCGCGAACCGCGGCGATCCAGGCTCATTTTCCTCGTCTCCGCTTCCTATTGGCCCTCGCGCACTTCAATCGGATCGTCGATCTCGCCAGGAGAAATTGCCTCCGTGAACTCTTATACCATTGATATGCTTCTCGCGTTCTCCTCTCTTCCTCGTCGCGCTTTCTTAATCCTTCACTATTCCACAATCAATGACTTCGTCACCTTTTCTCTGGCCTGCCTCGTATTTCTTTGTTAAATTCTTGGTACCTTGGTATTAATCATTATCAATTTTATTTCGTTCCTCGATGAACATCTTATCCCCTTTTCCTTGGCGACGGCTGTGGCACTCCTGAGCTTAACTAATTAGCGACCAAGTGGCACATCTAGTTATGCAATTCGACGCAACACTCCGAATTCGGCGTTAAGCGTTGCTAGTGGACATTATACTCGCCTCAATTTTACACAACACTTAACTAATACGCTTTCCAGTAAATAAATATGATTTGTGTGTATGAAACTAATTTCTTTTTGTCTTCCCCTCCACGGAAGAAGTCATTCGCGACCAGGCAACGCACCGCGGTTCCTGTCTATTCTTCTTTCCGCGCGAGACCGTCGCCGATATAATTTCGTTGCGGCGAAAACGACGCCGGGCGCAGTTCCTCTCGCTTTGTTAGCGGTGGGCGAAGGACATCACCTGTGCGCGCAGCCCAGGCGAGATGCGCCGGGACGACGTCCTTGGGAAACGCACTTGCCGCGGTCCCTCTTTCTTTCCCTCACGCCGGAGGGGAAGGAGGGAGAAAGCGCGAGGGCGTAATACTCGCGACTTCCCACGCTGTCACGTCGACCACGTCAAGGAGGCGCACACACTCGCGCCGCGGAAGAGATCGGTGGGATGGCTCTCGGCGCGAAAGGTTCCTCGGAAGTGTTCCCGCGTCGAAAGTTGACACACACCGACGACAACGCGCGCGAACGCCGTGTCCAGGATATCGAATCGTCCCGCGCACACGACGCGGGGAGGGTGCCGCGATCAGTACGGCGTTTTCCCGACTTTTTGAGAAGTTTGCCGCGACTACGGAGGCGCTGTGGCAATGGTATCCGCGATCACGATACCAGACGCATCCCACGCGACCAATGGCAAGGAAATGATCCCGAAGGGAGAAAGAGAGAGAGAGAGAAGAATCCCTTCTCTTCTTTCTCTTTCTCTCTCGCTCGCTGCCGATCTCTCGGCAGTCGGGAGGGAAACCGGGGTCGGTGACGGAACAGAACGGAACGGAGCAAAATCCAACCGAACGAGGCGGAGTGGAGCGGAACGGAGCGAGGCGGAGCACCGTTCCCCACGGCACGGCACAGCGGTGTCGTCGCTCCTGCGACGACGACGACCACGACGACGATGACGAGGAGAGACCGGAGGAGGGTGGCTGGTCGGGTGGCTGGCTGGGATCGAACTAGATGGCTCGTCGCCAGGCAACCGGATTTTCCCTCTCGGTCTCTCGCGCGCGCGAATACGAGTCTCTCCCCCTTCTTCCGCCCTCCTTTCTGGTCCCCGCTGGCTCGCTCGCTCGCACGCTCGCTCGACCGCTCGGCGCTCTCTCTTCCTCGCCCTCTCGGTTCTCGCCGTTCACTACTCCGCTCCGCTAGTCGCGGGCTCTCCTCCACCCTCCCTCGCTCGCCTCTTCTCCCCTCTTAGCCCCTTCCCCCGCGAACATCGCCGGTACGGCGCACCGGTTCCTCCGCCGCGATTCTCTCGCTCGCTCACCCTCCGCGCGCCGGAGGACACGGCAGAGGATCCTTCTCCCGCACCTCTTCTTCCGCGAGACGATGCACCGCGAGAGCGCCGCGCGGATGCTGCGAGAGGAACGTCCTGGACCCCTCGTTCGACGATCAATCGGTCGCGCTCGTTGCACTTAATTTTTTATCTTGCCACAACGCGACACCCTCGACGTTAGAAGCTTGATTTTTTATCTCGCGATTAGCCATGTCCACCTGGTGCCACGCGCGATGAGGGTTTTCGACCGCAACACTCCGCGATTCTCCCGAGTGAATCCTTCGCCTGGCCGGTCGCAACGCAAAATGATGGCACGCAGAAGTTAAACAGTACGATTCCCCACTCGGGCGTCCCTCGGCACGATAAATATTTGCCGCGTCGTGTGTGATAAAGCTGATAAGATATATCGCGTTTGTTGTGTACCTTAATTGCACAGTGGCGGCAAAGTCTGTTGCCAAACATTCCCGCCGGATGTATTAACGTGTCAGTTCGGCTCATCAATAAATCCCCGTAATCGCAATAAACCGATAAACTTTGATCCTCGCGAAACTTGGGTTAATCGGCGATAATTCTCGTTCCTAGGAGCACAACTTTTGCATAACACGCGACCTACAATGCTTTATTAAGTCTAGACGCGTAAGTTTTTATATCGTCCGCTCCCCTCCGCTCTTTCTCTGGCAAGAATTTCTCGGCCTATCCTCTCGGCGACGCTAATTGCTCCTTCGAGCTATACTACCAACGCGCTGGCGAGGTGCCGGTCGCGGAGAAATCGTTTGCGATTCGCGCTCTTCAGCGCCGACCGGCCGTCCGGCACTTTCTACGTTCCACTTGGAGGCGCGAGGGACCTTTGGTTTTTGGGGTAAAAATGTCGAATCGAGGAAACGAGACTCGGAGAAACTCAACGTCCAGGTGCACGATGGACTCTCCCCGATTGTTCGTCATCTGCAACGAGGCAGCAGAAGAGGAACAATACCGGCGCATGAAAGAGAAAGAGCAGAAGTTTATTATGTGCTCCGGGAAGCACGCCCTAGGAACAAACGGCGATCGAGTGAAAGGAAGTAATTTAGTCGGGGCGCAACAATGCGAGCAATAATGATAAGAACAAATGACTCCGGAAGGTACGTCTATAATAAAGAAAAAAATAGGGTAATGATTGGAAAGGTGGCCTAGCTGTCTGTTTAAAGCAGCGATCGAGCGAATAAAAGTACAAATAGGCACGAATTATGACGTTGATTATAACAGAAGAATAATAGATTATACAGGGTGTTATGTAATACCCGCCACACCTCTTATTTACGGATGGAGCAGATTAGACTGAGTCGAAAAGTCCTCTACCATTTTGCAATTTTCACAATTGTTAACGAGTTATAAATTATTAAAAGTCACTGTCTTAGCCCGGCCTACACAGAGAGAACGGTTTCTTTGGATTTAGTATTCCTATTTATTTGGTTGAAATTTGTTTCACTGAAACAATATATGCTTATACGAAACCTTATATGTTTTGAATAAGAATTTTGTTGTTTTATTCAAACAACCTGTATTATTTGATAGAAAAAACACTATTATTTGAAGTAATATCTTTCAATGAAATAATTATATTATTTGGCCAGGCGCTTATAAAGTTTGGTGCTGCCACTAAATGGCCGCCGAACTCGTAAGTAAAATCGCGGCAGCTATGATATACAGGGTGTGTCCTAATACCCGTATGTCCCGTAGATGGTAGATAGACCGGGGCAAACTGAATAGAAAAGTCCTATACCATTTTGCAAAATTCGCAATAGTTATCGAGAAATTAATTTTAATGTCTGAGCGAATAAGAGCGTAGAAGGCGGCAGGCCGGACTCGGCAGGCAACGGTGGGGCATCATCTAATAGCGAGAGGTGGAGCGGCGCGCCGAAAAAAAATGTCAAAAAAGCTTGGCGCTCGCTGCTTGACAACTTTTTAAAATTAATTTTTTAAAATTAATTTCTCGATAACTATTGCGAATTTTGCAAAATGGTATAGGACTTTTCTATTCAGTTTACCCCGGTCTATCTGCCATCTACGGGACATACGGGTATTAGGACACACCCTGTATAAGCGACCGCATCAGCAGACGCAGTTTAAGCATTTAATGGTCTATTTTTTATTATGGCTGAACATAGTGTACTAATTCAGTGTTTATCTTTCTTCTTTTAATGAAGGGAAAATTCTAATGTAGAGGGAAAAAGATGTATGCATATACATTTGTTTCACATATTTTCTATCAAACGATAATGCTGTTTGAAACAATAATATCGTTTAGATTAAAGAGAATATTCCTTTCGTTTCAAACAAATCTTTTATTTGAAGTAAAGCTATTTATTATTTGAAAGGTCAAATAATCATATTTGTTGAACCAACAATTGGTTTGTTTGGACTATTCCAAAAGATAAATTTCTTTGAATCTAATAAAATTTATTAAATTCAAAGAAACCGTTCTCTCTGTGTACCGTCCAATTAGCATGATACAGCATGACCTTATTAGGCGTTTCTATTGTTATTTACAATAACGGCCGGTTCACTTATTATCTTTATTCCCTAAAACGAGACTTTATCTTCCAAGACGCATAAGGCTGAGATTAGAGAGATGTGACGAATAAATAATATTTATTAAATAAATATAAAAAAATATAAGCAAATCGTTGACAAATCCATAACGGGAAATAACACGTAATAATCGAGTACGTAAGCGTGTGCACAAGCAGTGCCGAAATTGCAAAGGGAAAAGAGATCACGAGGGAGATAATAAAGAACAAAGACAACGATGGAGAGGCAGATAGGTACAGGGATCAATGGGTGCTACTTCACGACCCCGTGCTTCGCTCTCTCTCTCGCCCATTCTCTCTCCCTCTTCCTCTCTCATTCAGGCTCGCCGAACGATGCGCTCCCACCGTGCCCGCCCTATATCGAGTGTCCAACCCTCGAAGCGTGACCGTGACTGTGACTCTCCGGTCTGCGAAAGAGCGGAGTGCGCGTGTCCGCGTTGCATCGACGCCCGCCGCCGTCGTCGGTTTTTGTGTGCATCGCACGCGTAACGCGATTCGCTGTAACGCGGCGATACGACGCATCCACCGTAACGAGACCCAAATGAATGAAGATCGCGTGCGAAAGTTAACTCGCAAACATTAAGAACTGTCGTCGGGATCGTTATTGCTGATTTTTTTTCCCTGTCCGCTTGCTACGCGCCGAAGACCCCTTGAATTCTGAGCTCTACTCTTCCGCGTTTTAATTATCAGGATCGTATATTAGATTGAACATGTATAATGAACTATTGTTATTAATTATTCCGATCGCATGCTATTATAGTTATTACGTAATTAGACATTATTATAATTATGCACACTGTAAAAAAATTGCATAAACTTACAAGTATCATGGTGATGTTGGAGCAATTTATTAAAGACGTATATTTATATACGTTAGCAAAGTTATATCCCGTAGATAAAATTATTGCCCATAATAAGTAATCAGCTTGCTTCTAATTTTCTATTTTTTTGTCAAATATAAACAATTATTCGCATGATAAGAGTTAAAAAAATTATTTTTTATAAAAATATATGAATTTATATATTTTCGTTATTAATTTTCAACGCGCGCTGTAAAAAAGTATGCAAAGTAACATAAGTAATGAGTGTAACAAATCATTGGGCTATCTTACATATTTTTTATTAATTTATCACAAAGCGGCCAATGATTTAGGGCTAAATGAATTTTTTATGTGCACTGTAAAAAATATATAAAGTTAACAATTGAAGGCCTATTTCACCAGCTCCGTTCAATCGGTCGATTAAATTTCAGTGTTCCATCGGATTTGATCAATTGCATTTATCGTTCAAGCAGAATTGACCACAATTAACCAAACACGGTTGACATTTAACTGACCGATTAAATTAAACGGAGTTGGTGAAATCGGCCTTTAATCATTGTTAACTTTACATAGTCTTTTACAGCGCACATTAAAAATGTCTCTAAAAAATTATTCACTTTATACCTTCCAAGTTCGAAACAGAAAAACTTTGTACGTCAGTTAACATGTGGGAACGTATAATTTTTTCACGGACTCGCGTAACAGCTTAGTTTTTTTATCTGCTCCATTTTTGTCTGTTCACTTATGAATCTACGAATCATTAATCGTTCATGCTCTTTGCGTCACATCAATATAAGACCTGGCTAACCCTTCGGTTTGGTCAACAAGTGTCGAGGCCTTTCATCGGACACTCTAACGACACTCAGGGTCGTCTTACCGGGCGTGCTTTAATACCGGCGCGCTCCTCATGCTCCTCTGATATCCACCGGCATCAGACTCTCTCGACTTTGACCCTTAATTGCGTCGAGGCAAAGGGTCCTAAGCAAATCCCGCTCTTTTTCAGGTATCAAGTTGTCAGCGCAAATTGCACTTACACTGCGGTCATTACGGGGTACGATTTGTGTTTACAATCTATCGTTAGAGCGTAACGTTAATTACTCGGAGAGAAGTTTTATATCCTCTGCGATACACAGAGAAACAGGTTTCTTTGGATTTAGTGTTCCTATTTATTTGATCGAGATTTGTTTCATTGAAACAACATATGCCTAGACAAAACATTATTTGTTTGAGTAAAAATTTAGTTGTTTCATTCAGACAATCTCTATTATTTGACAGAAAAGACACTATT